ATCAGCTGTTGATGCTCTGATCGGTTGGTTCTACCCGGTGACACAAATATTTTTTATCGAAGTTAGTTTTTCCATGAATCAATGAGTAAGTGTTATTTAAGTTACTTCTGTATTTTTAAAATTAAACGTACGCAGCAATAGATTTATTTCACTTCAATGAGGTACTGCATTAGATATTCTATTCCAGTTCGATCTCATTTCATAGACACGGTACTTATTCGTTTGCTTCATTAGAATAGATGACAAAATTAATTTTCGTGAATTTATTCTTTTTCTTTTTTGAAGGCATAAAATAAATACAATATACTTCGTCTGGTTGTTGTAAACAACAACTAATTGATTTATTTCTTATTCACGAATTACGAAGAATTTAATATTATTCTTAACTTATTAATTCATTACTCGATTTAACTTTTACCCAATAGCTTCCTGTTATACCGACGTTATACCGACAGTATCGATACATTTGTTCACGACGACGATCAGCCATCATATTCGAAGCTGTCGCTCACGCTGTCGCGCGACCGGTCTATACGCGCTGTCATTGGTCAATGTTTTTCATTAATAATTCAAAAACTAAGCTTTAACCAGCATTTTGGTAAAGGAAAAAGTTGTTCAGAATCACTCCAGCTACCACCCCCTAAAATTATGCCCACCAGTAGCCGAACACCCTGTATAGTACTATTATAATCATTATTTTAATTATAACATTAGTCATTTTTATATTTATATTATAATATATAATTAAAACTATAAATTGTTATACTAATTTATATTACTCAATTATAATCGCGAAAACATTATTTAATATTGTCAATAATTAAGAATAACTACTACATTATTGTTACATTGTACAGTTATCCATAAGTTTACGAACAGAGAAAACATTATCTGTTGATTTTCTGCCTCAGGACAACGTATTCCTCCCTATACTAAGTAACGTACACAATGTTCTTTTTTATATGCAAACGTTTGTAACAAACGCATTATGCAAGTAGTGTATTTTTGTTTCCTATAATCATACATCAAATTTCTGTTCGGATTCTGTTGCTTTTCCTATTTTTTACAAAGATATACAATTGCAGAAATCGTCTGATTTCTATAATTACAAAAAATTATAATGATCAATAACATATAGATAAAATTAAACATAACTTTCGTTAATAATTATTTACACAATATTGCAAATGCAAAATTCAAAGTAAAACTGATTGACTTATTGATTTCAAAAAGCCAACATATAATCAACATTCTACTGAAAAATTTTAATATGTTAATAAGAAACGATTATTCTTAAATGATCATATTCTTACGTGCTCGATGATCATTTATCTTGTCATTCTGATGAACACATTGTATAAAAAGAACAAATAATTGCCTCTAAGGGTAACTACATCACGCTATACCTCAGAACATTAATTCGTGTGGAAACTCAATCACAGCTTTGCAAGACGTGTCAAACTAATCTAACACGCTAAAGATTTCGCATATAAGCAGTTATAGAAGCTAAGGGTCGATATAATAACCTGACTGCCAAACTAATCGATTGCTCGATGTATCAGCTGTTTCTTCTCCCGGCAAGACACGCCAAACCACACACAGACGAGCTTGTTATAATCGTTTTTACTCACAGCCCGAACAGATGGGGGCCTCTTTTACATTCATCTTTTTCTGTCGTCCTCATCGTTATTACACCGACCTAACCCTTCGAAACTGGCATCCGATGTTCGAGAATCGTGACGTTCGAAATACCTTAGTGACACGACGATTAGACGGTAAGAAAAGGAAAAATTTCAACGAGGTGCGACGTTTCGTAATAAGAAAATTCATACGCTGATGATCAAAGAGTCACGATGTTGGAGTTGTATTTTAAGTAAATGTTCTCGGAAATTGATTAACGTTAACGCGAGGAACACAGGGCAGCGCCGTGATTAGTGTCGAAGTTTAAACTTTTATGCAGGGTAATGAGCGACGAAGTTAAGAAAGCAAACTAACGTTTCAAAGGTTTGTTAAAATTACGATATAACCTGTTTATCGACTCACTTTGTTTCGTGGACTAATTTTCAAAAGTTTATGAAGTATTTCAAGTTATTTCAATATTTAACACCGGGATTAGGAAAATTCACGTGTGCCATCCCGTTCTGAACTTGTAATATAGGTTATTTGAAGTTTAGATGTTTAGTTAGTCTATTTCTTTTTTTAACTCATTACACCCCACAATGTAATATACATAACGTACTGTACTTGTTAAATTATCATATTATGAAGTTATGTTAGCAAACTGTTATGATATAAAATTTATCACATTATTCAGTCATCAAATTATGAAATGACCAACTTATCAAATTATTAAATCATTTCACTATCATATTATCATATTAGCATATACATTTGTCATATCTTTACATTATCAAATGATTAGTTACTAAGTTGTGAAATTTCTACATATAAAAAGTTCCCAATATTTCTATATTATGAAATTACTATCTTTCCAGTATTTTCACATTATCAAACTGTCGAATCATTGAGTTTCTAAATAATTAAATTAAAAATTCTGGAATTTTTAAATTTCCAAGTTGCTAAATATTTTAATTTATGAATTTTCATACAACAAAATTTAAATATCATTCGTATGTGAAACTTCTATATTTGAAAATAAAAACTTTATATCTTCCAATATATCCCAATAAAATATCTCTAGATAAACAATAAAACAACTTACGCATTTTTGCTAAATCTTCCTGTTACTATTATATGAAGATATGCTGTCTTACACCCTTTGTTGTTACGAACATACAAGAGAAAATATATCTATCAATAGCAGTAACAAAATTTTACATTCTATTCCTAAAATTGAACTACCACTATTTCTCAAATAATCGCTTACACTGCTTACCGTAACAAATTCTTTAAACTAATATATGAAGAACATCTATAATTAAACAAATAACTTAACTTACAAAGTTAGCATAAGTTGAATGAAATTCAACGAATTTTATTTCCGCTTAATTAAATTAATCCTATAAACTGATTTCTTTTTCGGACCACAATACTTTGCCACATAAAATACATCACAGTTTTACTTTTCAGCATATGTCAATCACGCGAACGCTGCCATGTATCAGCAAATAATATGCACGCTATTTTTCCAAATATCAAGTTTCTGGAACGTAATCATAATCAGTAGAAAAATGCGTATGACGGGTATGAGAAGCAAACGTTTCAGTGAACATTTCGGTCGGTCAGTTTCTCGCGGAAAAAATCTGATACGCGTGTGTAAGAGCAACCACGGATCAGAGAATGTTGATCTTCAACGAGCTTGACCTAAATACGCAACCCGCAGGTTGGGCACATATTTCTTTCTATTTATTTTTATGGCTCCTGATGCTCGACCGATATCACGTTTCTCTGTGTCGTTTCACCCTTCACCCCTTTCTCGCATTTTCCCTTCGCTGCTTTTGTTTCCCTCTTTGTTCCCCGTTTCATTTTTGTTTTTTATCCTGTGACCAAACACTGTATGGAAAATATCCGCAATCATTTCTCCGCTGCTACTATCCACGAGCTTTTTTTTTCTTCTAGTAATCGTCAAGATATCATATGCGGACTGGTTCTCGCAGACTAGGTATGAATTTCGCTCCCAGGCCGATCCGTACGTTGATTGTAATCGATATCTCTGAATACCGGTCACCTGGATACAATCCGTCGCTTCTGTACGATTCCCGAGAATCCTGGAATACGTGCATACCTTCGTGATTGATATCCTCTTTGACATCGATAACGTTATACATTACGTAAAATTTTCTACGATTCGTTCGTTCAAGTCATATGCCCAAAGCAGTGGGGCTTTACTAGCGTTTCGAAATTCATTCGCCATTGTTCGAATTACATGCCAGGTATTCGTAACACTCTCCTGTGGTTTAGGTAAAATTCGGTGATAACTGATAGGCTAAATGATCCTATTGTCATGTATGCAATGTGATTATTTTTTACTAATATTCTGGATCTGATATTAATAGGATCAATTGTCCTGACGATTAATCCTGTACAAGATTCTTAGTGCCTATACGAAATTGGTAATTAACAATTAAGTAAAAATTTTACTAATAACAATATTTTTATTTACTTTGAGCGATTAAAATGGTCAAAATGTATAATAAGTAATATAATAAGTTTTTATAGTTCAGTACTTATGCAAAAATATTATCCTACAATATTTTAAGATTCAGGGTCTTAAAATTGGTTTCATAGTAACTTAGGAAAAAAGGGTACACTTTTGTTAAAGTTGTAATTAATCAATATTATTTAATTGTTTAATTATCTAATATCACTCTTATTTTGTCCGAAATTGGAAAATCTACCCTTTCGAGTAAATGTGTTTAATTATAATTTTATACTGTTTAAATGTAAAAAAAAATTCAATTTAACCTGTTAAATTGTTTCCCTAATTTTAAACTGTTTCCCTAATCTGTTGACCACTGGAATATTTAAATTACAATGACTAATGATTAGCCGATATGTATCACTTAGTCTATATCTGGTACATACGTGCTCATCATTAACAACATAACAAACACACTTGAAAATAGGACATTAATATCCGACGTTCTTTTCGTACAACCCTGTATTAAGTAAAAATATTAATGCTTCTTATAGAAGTGTTAGAAAATTTCAGGTACAAGTAACTTGCAGAAAATAGCTAAAGTGTTACATATCATTAGAAACAGGCCAAAACAAAGAAGTTTTTACAAACATTTTAATTTGATAGGACCTAACTGTTTTTGAGGAAGGAATGACTACAAATTTGTTTTAATTACAAGACATAGTATGCAAGCAGTTTCATTCGCCTACCAAATATTTCGAATCTGATTCGGAAAAATTTTGTGATTTAGATAAAACATGTTCTGAAGGTAAGAAAAAGTACAAAGGAGTTTATAATAATCATAATAAACTTTCTACAATTGTTTGCTTCGGAAATGTCCAGTAATAACAAAGTGGCCAATATCTTAAAAATCATGATACTTTGCATGAAGGTATATATATATAGCTAAATGTGTTCCAGATGACCTCTTCTCTTATCCCTTGCAAACTTTTTATCGGCCTACTTAACAGCCAGTATACATACATACAGGGTGGCTCACCACATTTTGCTATCTAGATTTGCATCATTATTATTACTCATAGCAAACAATGTTTCAGATGAAGTTGAATGATTTTGAGAGTGGCATATGCTGGTGGTATATTTTTTTTTGTAGATGGACGTGTAAAAGACATGAAGGTCATTAATATCTTTTGAAATGGAATCATATATTTTTTATTACATCAGCTGATGCTCCTTCATATTCTTTACAAGAAAGTATTAATTTATTTATGTAAAAAAATCATTAGTTTAGGAGATATTTTAATTCTAACTTGTTAGGAAATCGCGACTTTCTAGTCAATATTATGAATTGTCCTAACTGAACAGCAAATGTTTTTCTACGCGCTTTAAGAGGTCACGTGTCACCAAACGAATTGTGAGTTTTTGTTTTTTTTTTTTGTTACGCAGTAACAGTAAAATTTAGTCTCTGTTACGTCTCTAATACGGTCAATACGACTATACGGTGAATTATCACTTCATAATGAAGTATTCTAAAGAAGAAAAGATAGACATGCTATCAGTTTATTTTGAAGCTGGGAAAAGTGTTACACATGCAGAAAGATTATACAAAAATTTCACCAGACGGGGCATTTCTTACGCAAAAAGGCAATTTGTAATAAAACAATAACACATGAAGCAAATGAAACTTCAGTGTTAGCCACAATTACGTTAAATCCATCTGCTAGCTCTCGCGAAATTGAAAGACAAGTTGGAATAATCCGCACAAACATTTTACGCGTACTCAAAAGGCACAAATACCATCCATATCACGTATCAATGGATCAAGAACTGACCGCAAATGACTGTTATCAATGTTTACAATTTTGTAATTGGGCTCTCTCTCAAAGAGACTACTTTTTCAACGAAGTTATGTTCACGGACGAAGCAACGTTTACGAAAAATGGATCAGTGAATTCAAGAAATATGCATTATTGGTCAACCGAAAATCCTCATTGGTTTAGACAAATGGATAATCAACATCGAGGGAGTGTAAATGTTTGGATGGGCGTACTGGGCGATAAACTTATTGGTCCATACTTTATCGAAGGATCACTAATCAGACCAAAATATGCACATTTTTTACCCAACTCTCTATGGACATTTTTAGATGATTTACCATTGCATACTCGACAAATAATGTGGATTCAACAGGATGGTTGCCCTGCTCATTATTCAAGAATAGCAAGGGATACATTAAACCGAATGTTCCCAAATTGTTGGATAGGGCGAGGTGGCCCCATTTATTTTCTGGCAAGATCATTAGATCTAACGCCCCTTGACTTTTTCTTGTGGGGCTATTTAAAAAATAAGGTGTATACTGAGCCTCCGACTACAATGGCGAATATGAGGGATCGTATCATCAGTGTAATAAAATAACATCAAATACACTACGGAATGTTAGTGGGTTATTCATTTCTCGATTCAGAAAATGTTCTGATGCAAATGGTCACCACATTCAACCTTTTCTGTAAATAGACATTAAAATTAAAATATTTCCTAAACTAATGATTTTTTCACATGAATAGATTAATATTTTTTTGTAAAGAATATGGGGGACCTCAGCTGATACAATAAAAAATATATGATTCTATTTAAAAAAACATTAATGACCTTCATATATCTTTTACGCATTCTACAAAAAAAATATACCACCAGCATATGCCCCTCCTAAAACCATTCAACTTCATTTGAAACATTATTTGCTATGAGTAATAATAATGACGCAAATCTAGATGGCAAAATGTGGTGAGCCACACTGTATAATAAATGATCGTTTGATTATAATTAGTTAGAAAAATCGCATGTATTGTTTACGGTATTATGTGTTATGTGCTGTATCAGAGGTAAAATACTTTCGTTTTTATTCGATCTCAACACATATATGTATAGATAGATAATTTAAGTATGCATATGTATTTTGATACATCGTCGCCACTTTTATGCCATCATTTAGTAAAACATATAATCATGATAAACTGTTATTTTGTCCTGCTATTGTTCGTATGTTTCAGTATGACTTGGCATTGGTGATTCATGAGATTGTTTTTGCTTATTTATTTTACTTCATCATGATACACTGTAGGAAAAAATTTTATAATGTGCTGTAATATATTCAAGCAGTATATGATGATATGTTTCATTTGTTTTAAATCATTTATAAAAGTTTAAAAATTCCCATATTAAAATATATCATTTATATTATATTATATTGTTAGAAATAAAGCAACAGTTTTTTTGTAACAAAAACTGTTTCATCTGGAAATTTAAAAATTCAATGGTTTAGAAATTTCAGTATTTAAAATTTTGATATTTAAAACAACGATAGTACAAAAATTTAGCTATTTAAAATATCAATAGTTTACAAATTTTAATATTTAAAAATTTATAAATTGAGAAGTTTCGAAAATTGTAACTTTCTAATCTCGATTATGAAATAATAATTATGCATGCAACACATGTACAACCCTACAGATAATTTATTTGCCGATAGTTGTTTCGTATATTACCTTACAAATTGAATGCATGTTAACACGTACTTGATTAATTACGAACAGAATGTATTGAGAATGATATTAAAATATTCTGATACCTTCGTGTTGTCTAAAAAGGCGTACAAATATGAAGCTAAGTATTTCTTCAAACTGTAAATTATAGAGAGGAAAGCGTAAGGGTATACTTAATCATTCTTAATTAATCCATGAATTCTTAAATAGCTAAATTATATGCAAACGATTCAAGTGCCGTCGTTAATATTGATGTAGGACCGGTTAGACGGGATACAAAAATTTGTAACCTGCTTTAAATGAACCATATATCTTGATATAACATCTTGTTATAAATTTATTATGGTGATACAATACTGTATGCATAATGGTTTAATCAAATCACCACGTAATACATTTCCCAAATAATTGGACACGGAAACGACTTAAGATGATACATAAGATTTATAAGTGGCTCCTTTACACATTCGATTGTGAAAAATTTTGTTGAAATACGAAATATAATAAAAATAATAATTAACATTATAAAACTGAGAGGTACTGTAAACAGAAATATTACGAAAATAATAATTAATATTATAAAATTGAGAGTTACTATAACAAGAATATTATAAAAAATGATCAATAATATTACAAAGCTAGAGCTATTATAAGCAGAAATATTATAAAAGTAATAATTAATATTACAAAACTTAAAGGAATTGTATCAGTAAAAAAGCATCAAATATTATGAAAATAGTGTAGTAGAATAATTAAAAATAAAGTTGTAATTTGTGAAGATGTTAAATTTTTTACACTAATGAAAATGTTAAATATAGTTATATCTCTTTAGTAAATGAAAACAAAATTTTGTTTATATACAGTCGAAGCGAAGGTGCGATATTACATCAAACGTAATTATTGCAGTAACGTAAACACACGAGTGCAAATAGCTGTCACTATGTCGATGGTAATAATACGTACTTATAGAATGACAGGAATTATTATATCCGAACATAATAACAAAACCGGTGCTATGTGAAATGCAATTTATTATAATAAATCCTTAATACGCGTATTTAAAGAATGACAACTGAGAAAACACGATTTTCGAATTATCACTGTTATAATGTTGCGAAAAATAACATCTCTCGGCATTTTATAAAAATCTTATTGATTTATCTTCGTAATTCGTCCGGTAGAGAACAGTTATGTCGCTTTTCATGATTCATGTGACGTTGTGCTGTATTTTATAAATTATTATGAAAGTAATAACAATAAACAGTAAAAGTAAACATACGTAATACCTATATACAATATCTACACTGCGGTGCAGAACTATAGCACCACCTATATTTTTAGTAGATTCTGACTTTGGAATAACAACACATAAAAATCATCCATATGAAATTGAAGGGTATAGTGAACGATGAACTTCAGTCAAAATTTGTTGATATTATTTTACTATATAAGAAAATATAACATGAAAATTGATTTTTCATCGTTGCATAACTATAACACCATGTGAATAAATGTCAAATATATACACATAAATATGATTTTAATAACTTGTAAGGCCTCCTTGTTTTGTTATAAGTTGAAAAATTCTATCTGGCATGCTCTCGATGAGTTTCTGAAAAATTCGTTGGCTAATTTCATTACATGCTTTTAGTACTGCGTTTTTTGGTTCTAAAATATTTTCATACTGTCGATTTTCGACATAAGCTTTTCGGACAGTAATGGCTCAAATATTTTTCATCGGGTTTTTGTCTGGTGTACATGCTGGCCATTTAATAATATTAGTTTTCTTCTTTCCAACCATGATACTGTCTTCCGACTGGTGTGTACAGCAGGGTTGTCCTGTTGGAAAGTTCAGTTAATTGCACTATGTGCGTTTATAATTATGTGCGTTTATAAAAGGTAATAAATTGTCTGATACAATTATAGTGTACTCCTCACTACCCATTTTTTTCTACGGAAAAGCCAATTACAACATGCCATCAATGCAAAGGCACCCCAATTTGACTTCGTCCGCCAAAATTTCTTTTTAAAAAGTATTGTGGTTCTTTTCGCAGTTCTCGTCAATATGAATTATAACCGTCAGGACTATCAAGATTAACCTTTTTCTCATCCGAAAACATAACCTTATTATCAGTGATAGAAGTTTAAGTTAATTGGTGTAAAAAGATTTTGACATCTAAGGTTAATTTACGCTTTTCCAGTCGCGATGCATGTTCGTTCGAGCGTATTCAAGCCTCGCAACGTTATGCCGTGGTAGAAGTTTTGGTGCAGATTTTAATTTCTGTTTCTCCATGTTGGGATTACACTTAAAAATTCGACGTACTGTCCATCGTGAAATATTTAAGTTGAGTTCCTTTTTAATTTGGTTACAGCTGTTTTGGATGTTACTGGCTGCTTTTACAATTGCTCGTTCGGTACGGTGACTCAATTTTTTCTTTGGACCATCCTTTTCATTATTGCCATAATTAACGGAATTATTTAAGAAAATCAAAATGACTTCATGTAAGTTCCCAATCCTACGGGCAATTTCCCGAACACTAATTTTATCCTCCTTAAACGCCAAAATTTTACCCTTCTCCTCTTTGGTCAAATATCTACTACGTGGCATTGTTTAACAAATTTGAGTATTGTCTAATTTTAATTTGTATTTTAATAAGGATGTAATAATTTAGCTTCAGTGAGTTTGTAGTTGAACTGGATGGAGAGAAGTTAATTTAATGACATTGGTGCTATAGTTTCGCAACAAGCCAAAATCACATTTTGGATTATATCGTTTCTAATACAGGAGCAACTTCAATGAGACTTAATATAAAATTTATTGCGACCCATACCATTTCGTCTCCTGCAATTGATTTTTTGACTCCTGCAATTGATTTTTTGCACTTTATCTTTAAATTACAGAACAACTAAAAAAGTAGATGGTGCTATAGTTATGCACCGCAATGTATACTGCCCAGATCATACGTCTGACATAATTTTAATATTTTCTAATTAAATGGTTTTTCACTTTTTTAAACAAATTTTTTGAAGTATATAATTTTTGAAACTAAGTAGTTTATTTTAGATTGTTCACTGTTAATTATACTTAAACAATAATTAAATGTAACTATTAATCACTCAATAATTGAAATTGTAACTGTAATTGGATTAAATTACTTCTAACATGAAGCATCTGCTTCAACAGTTTTTCAAAATTAAAAACATGGTTTCTTCGCAATAAAATTAACGTTAAAACATGACAAAAGTAATAGATATTCGTATGTTAAGTTTTAACTGTTCAATTAAGAAATGTATGTAAAAATTAAATGTCTTAAAATACTCATAAAAAAACGTAAGAAGATCTAAAAGGGGTGAGTTGAAGCGATTGGTACATGATATAAAAAATGAATATTTACTTAAGTTAATAAAAATAAACAAATTGGTCCTATATAACATTTCTCTTCTTTCGAATACATCAATTTTCTTCCATTATTAATTCAACATACTAACAATAAAAGTAATAAAAACATAACATATTTTTATTAAGATTAAATTAATAATGCAATACTTCAAATTATTATTTAGAATTTTTAGTATAATTTTAGTAATACACAGATTTTTATCATTTTATAATGCCTAACCTTTAATGTTATAGCAGTTTAAAAAAAATACAATATGTATTTCCAAAAGGAAATATAATATGTTGAAATATGCTGCATACGTCCACGTGAAAGATCTACAAGTGTATACAGAAAATGAGTTTATATCTATAACTCAAATGAAAGATTATTATTAATCAGATGATTGATCCATAGTTTTGGAAGAAAGAGGAGTATGTTGTAAATTAAACAATATGAGACCGGAAGATTATAATAAACGTAACTGTTATGGCGA